TCTTTTCTAGTTCTTTCATAGCTGTCCTCCCCATTCTTAATCTTCTCCCGATTTCCTGGCTGTAGTCCCCGTTCCGATCGATGTTTGATCCCAGATATGAGAACTCTTTTACTATTTCTATTTCCTCATTGTCTAGTTTGAATGTGTGTAAGTTCTCTGTGGTCATTATTTTTGTTTTCTTTAGGTTCGGCATTAAGCTTGTCTTTGCAATTTCTTCTTTGATCTTCCTTAGTAGTTGTTCCAGGTCTGTGAGGTTTTTTTGCAAGTATTATGGTGTCATCTGCATATCTTAGATTGTTGATATTCCTTCCTCCTATTTCCACTCCTCCTTCTTCTGTGTCCAAGCCTGTTTTTCTTATAATATGTTCTGCATACCTTGTCTGACCCCTTTGCCAATTGGGAACCATTCTGTTTCTCCATGTTCTGTTCTGTTTTCAAACAGAGGCTGGATGGCTATCTGTGACAGGGGATGCTTTGATGGAGAGTTCCCTGAATGGCAGAATGGGGTTGGATTGGATGGCCCTTGGGGGGTCTCTTCCAGCTCAAGGATTCTATGATTTGGAGTGTGGTGGAGTCCCCTTCTTTGGAGGTCTTTAAACAGAGGCTGGATGGTCGTCAAGGGGGATGATTTGATGGAGAGTTCCTGCATGGCAGAATGAGGTTGGAATGGATGTCCCTTGGGGATCCCTTCCAACTCTATGATTCTATTATCTTTATTTTAACAGCTGATCAACAGAGGAACAGACTGCCTCTGAGGGCGGTAGACTCTTCTTTCAAGAAGACATCTTTCAGGAATGAAAGCTGGGACATCTTGCATGGCAGGATGGGATTGGACTGGATGTCCCTTGGGGGTCTCTTCCAACTCTAGGATTCTGTTATCTTTATTTTAACAGCTGATCAATAGAGGAACAGACTGACTCTGAGGGCAGTAGACTCCTCTTTCAAGAAGACATCTTTCAGGAATGAAAGCTGGGTCTTCTTGCATGGTAGGATGGGGTTGGACTGGATGTCCTTTGGGGGTCTCTTCCAACTCTAGGATCCTATGATCCTGTGAGACGCGTTGGCCCTCCCATCATGTCTTGAAGGGGGTCCCACAGCCTTTCATGGTCTCTGTAGACTATCAAGCCATTACCTGGGGCTCAGAGAAGTTGAGCATCTTTTCATTTGGGCCAGTTCCAGGTTCCCTAGATGTTTCGAGGCCCCGCAGAGAGAGAGAGGGGGGGGG